TAACTGAGTTCTTTTTAACCAAAAAAACATACCATGTCTGGAGTTTTCTTTGTGAGAAAGTTTTTAATTTTCAATTTTATCTGTAATTTTAACTTGAGTTTTAACTTACTAATTACTGATAGATGGTTCTTCAAAGCTCCAACTAGGACTGTGGATTTGCTGCTTTCTCTCTGGTTCTAGCACTCTTGCTCTGTGTAGTCTGAACTCTCCCATCAGGCATATACACGTCCAGGGCGGTTTACCCGACCACGTGTCATCGTGAATTGTCCATCTTCACCTCTGGTAACACTCGTGTCTCAAGTCCTTTTTCTGATTAGTAACAGGGTCATCCTAGCTCTCTTACAACTAGTATTTGCACAATACATCTTTCGTGTCCAACCTTTTTCTTTGTATTTACAGTGCATCCCTGTAGATGGCATGAAGTTTGGTCTTGCTTTCAGTCCAGTCTGATATAAACTTAAGACAAAACAAATTAATTTGGAATGTGGGACATTCTAGAGAATAATTGGTCTGGATTCATCAAAAAGTCGATGCACACTGTTGAGTGAATGAAAACACAAGTCACAGACTGGGAGGAAGGATTTATAGAATACAAATCTGATAAGGGACTTGCATCCAAAATATAAAAAGAATCCTAAAAAGTGAATAAGAAAACAACCCTATTTAAAAGTGGGCAAAACAGGGACATCAGGGTGGCTCATTGGCTGAGCACCTGACTCTTGATCTCAGCTCAGGTCTTGATCTTGGGGTCGTGAGTTTAGGCCCCACATTGGACTTCATGCTGAGCGCGCACCCTACTGAAAAAAAATAGTGGGCAAAGATATGGACACCCCACCAAAGAAAGTATACAGATGGCCAATAAGCAGATGAAAAGACACTCCACATCATATGTTATTAAGGAATTGCAAATTCAAACAACAGTGAGACACCACTGTGCACCTAATTAGAAGAGCTAAACTCCACAACACTGGCAACAACAAATGCTTAGCACTAGGACGGGGGCCCCGGGAACTCTCGTCCACTGCTGCTGGGAAGGCGAACTGACGCAGCCCCTTTGGTGGACAGTTTGGCAGCTGCTCAGAAAGCTAAACACACCATCTGATCTAGCAATGTACTCCTAGGTATGTACCCAAATTAGTAAAAACCTCATGTCTACCCAAAAACCTGCATTCACAATAGCCAAAAAAACCCGGAAGCAACGGAAATGTCCTTCAATAGGGGTCTATCCAGACAATGAAATGTTACTCAGTGGTACAAAAAAGTGAGCCATCAAGACACAAAAACACATGCGGGAACCTTAAATGCGTATTCCTAGCTGGAGAAAGCCAATCTGAGAATACCACAGACTATGATCCCAGCTGACTGGCACTCTGGGAACGGTGGGACGGTAGAGACCGTGAGTGTCTGCGGCTGCTGTTGAGGGGGGGCGGCGGTTGGAGGCAAACTGTCCTGTATGACACGGTAATGGTGGACGCATGACACCGTGCATCTGGCAAGACCCAGAGTGTGCAGCACAAGAGTGGGTCCCCATGGAGCTAACGACACCGTGTCAGTAGGGATCATGAACTTCAGCGAGCGTCCACGCCCACGCCCCAGCGAGGACAGGGGAGGGACGGAGTGCATGGGAACGCTCGGTACTTCCCAATGTTCCTACAAAACTAAAACTGCTCCAAAACCTAAAGTCTGTTAGTAATAATAATTTCTTAAAAGACCGATGCTTAGGAGCACTTGGGTGGCTTAGTCAGTTCAGCGTCCAACTCTTGATTTCGGCTAAGGTCATGATCTCATCAGGGTCGTGAGATCGAGCCCCGTGTCAGGCTCTGTGCTTAGCCCAGAGTCTGCTTGGGAATCTTTCCCTCTTCCTCTCCCTTCCCCTCTGTCCCTACCCTCCACTTGTGCTCTCTCTAAAATAAATAAATAAAATCTTTAAATAAAAATTGAAAAAATAAGGGGTGCCTGGGTGGCACAATCGGTTAATGTGTCCGGCTCTTGGTTGTGGCTCAGGTCATGATTTCACGGTTCGTGCGATCATGCCCCATGTCTGGCTCTGCTCCCTCTGCCCCTCCCCCACCCGCCACACACACATGCTCACTCGCTCTCTAAAGTTAAAAAAAAAAATTTAGGGCGCCTGGGTGGCTCAGTCGTTAAGCGTCTGCCTTCGGCTCAGGTCATGATCCCAGGGTCCTGGGATCGAGTCCCACATCGGGCTCCCTGCTCGGCAGGAAGCTTGCTTCTCCCTCTCCCACTCCCCCTGCTTGTGTTCCTGCTCTCGCTCTCTCTCTCTCTGTCAAATAAATAAATAAAAATCTTTAAAATAAAAATTAAATAAAAATTAATAAAAAGACTGATGTGTAACTCACTACAAAAAGATAAGATAATTTCACTTTAAAAAATAAAGAAAAAAAGGCAGAGACTGATCTACATTCACGGACACCAAAAAGGATGATGAACAAGTGCAGTGCATGAACCTGGACTGGATCCTGGATCCAAACAAAGCCAACAAACAAAGACTGCTTATGGGAACACAATTTTGATGTAGGCAGGAAAATGTGAGTATGAGCCCTCAGTAAATGACACTATAGAACCGATGTTCAACTTCTTGAACAATTTGCTGTTTTATACCTACCAAAGAGTCTATTAAAACAAAAAAAGTGTGTACAGATAAATTATAAGGAACAATAAGAGAACAGCAAAATTGATAAACATAAAATAAATGTACAAAAATCAACCACCTTTCCATACACCTCGGTAAAAACTTACAAAATATAATTTTATAGTAAACATTTATAACACCAAAAATATAAAGCACCCAAGAATATATCTAACAAATGATGCAAACTTTTGTGAAATTATGAAATACTACTGATACTTAAAGAGAGTATAGTTTGGTAGACTCATCATTGTAAAGATGCTGAGTCTCCCCCACCATTAATCAACTGATTGACAAGTTGGTTCACTAGCTTAAAGGAAGATCTAAGGGCCAAGAACAGCCAAGAAGAACTGAAGAACAAAAGGGGGACTCTGCTTCCCTAAATACCAAGCTGGAAACCTACACTCATGAAAATAGTTTCCTGGCCCAGAGGCAGGCCCATGGGACAGAGCACTCAGAAACGTGCCCACACATTGTGGAAATCTGATTTTGTTCGAAGTTGGCATTAAATAGTAATGGAATAGGTAGGTATCCATTGAAGGGGGGACAAAAAAACAGAGTATGAACCCCTACCTAACAGTATGTATAAAATCTGTTTCAGGTAGATTAAAGACCTAAATTTAAGGATAAAAATACAACCCTCTTGGAAGAACATACAGTGGAATACTTTTGCAACCCTGGCATGAGGTAAGACTTCTTAAAGAAGATACAAAATGTCCACACCATAAAGAATGGCTGACCAAGATGACCACATGAAAATAAAGAACTGCTGTCCACGAGGGGACACCATTAAGAGAGCAGAAACAAACCAACAATCCAAGCCATAAATTCAGAGACGACACTCGCAATTCGTAAAAATGATAAAGGGTTGCTGTCCAGAATATGAAGAATTCTTTCAAATCAATAAGAAGATGACACACTAACCCAAGTGAAAAATGGAGAGGAGCATGCACTTCAAGAAGGGGAAGACTCCACGGTCAACAACGAATCAGAAGGTGCTCAATGTCACAGCCCCGGGGAGACCCATATTACCCCCAACACTGCACAGAAAAATCAAGTCCTGACTACAGTGCTGGGGAGGAAGGTGGGCAGTCTAGGAAAACAACGGGAACCACTCAGACGTCTGCCTGCACTGAAGGCACCAAGCAGGTCCTAAGATGTCCCCACACCGGTAGTGGGGCTGAGGGAAGGGCACCAGGCACCCTTGCAGGGACGGATCTTCAGAGTGTAACATGGAGCGGGAGAAGCAGGCACAGAAGATCCCAATCTTGCCAACCAGAAACATCCAAACCCCAACACGCCTGGACAGCCACGCAAATGTGGGGATGCTGTAAAGGAAGGCAAGGTCATGATACACTCGAAATCCGCTGTGCCCGTGACCTGGGCGGGGAGGAGGGAGACTGCGCCACGGGAGGGGCCCAGGGGTTCCAAAGGCGCGTTCTGTCCCCTGGCCGGCGGCCACGTGGCACCAAACACCGCACACCTCCAGGTATTGCCTTCCACCCAGTGGATGAGGAGAGCGCGTGGCCGTGGCTCCGAGGGACCCGCATGCCGGCACCGCAGGGTGGGGCGGAACTCGCCACTCCAGGCCAGGAAGATGTCGGGAGGGGTCGCCGACCTCCCACTTCCACCACCGTCGCTGGTTAAGGAGCTGCAGGAGGCCGGCAGCGGGACCTTGGCGAGGGCCGAGGCTGCGTCTGCAGGTGGCCTGGTGTGAGCTCCCTGGAATCTGTGCACCATTTTCTTCCCTAAGGAAACCGCTAATTCTTTTTTTTGTTGAAGATTTTATTTATTTTTGACAGAAAGAGAGAGAGTGTACAAGCAGGGGAAGAAGCAGGCAGAGGGAGAGGGAGAAGCGGGCTCCCCGCCCAGCAGGGAGCCCGATGCGGGGCTCGATCCCAGGACCCTGAGATCATGACCTGAGCCGAAGGCAGACGCTTGACCGTCTGAGCCACCCAGGCGCCCCCAAAACTGTTGATTCTTAAAAGAACACTCTAACTGAACTGAGAAACCTGGTTACCATGCGACCCACGCAGCAGAAGCACAAGGGCACGTCTTGGGCACCACACCGCGGGCACCACGCCGTGGCCTCCAGACGGTCGCTCCCCGGCCACGCTCCCCATGCCTGTCCCAGAGCTCATGGCTGAGACAGAGATGATCCCACAACGCCCTGCCACACGGCCGGCCCATGGCGCTGGTCCAACCTCACTGTGTCTGGGTCTGTGGAAGCGGAGTGACCAGCAACGGAGCCGTGGGCGAACGGGACCGCGGCCGACCACCAACACTTACACAGTTTGGGGCAGCAAGAGAAACGGACTGGGTTCACACAAACCTCTGACAGTGCTCCTACCTTGTTGAAGACCCAGATCTCCCCGTTCACGGTAGGCCTGGGCACCCCGTGGCCGTTGTAGTGGAAGAGGACCCGCTCCTCCTTGGCATTTCGGCGTAAGGACGTGCACAGCTTCTTCACTTCGTCCACAGTTGGGTCGAGGCTCTGCTTGTACCGGGCCTGTTGCGGGAGAAGAGATGAAGAAACTCACCGTGGATTCAGGGGAATATGGGGATACATGCCCCCTTCCTCACTCTGAGTTTGCGCTGAAAGGCTGTGTGACCCTGGACAAGTGACCCCGAGAGTTTCTCCACCTGTAAACCTGGGATAATGAGCCCTTCAGAGGGGGCTGTGGAACTTCATCCATCCAACCAATATTCCTAGGGAACTACGAGAAGATCACGTGAGATGGGTAAGTGAAGCTTGCCGCACGGCCACAATGAGCAAGAGGTCCAACCACTGTGATGACAAGAGTTTCTTGGAAACACTGAAGCCTTCTGAAAAAGACCCTCTGGAACGTGGAAGAGATGCTTTGCTTAAATGCAGGAAGCTGCAGGCCAGTGCGGCAAGAGCAGCACAGACAGAAAGTGCCAGACAGAGGAAGGAGGCTGCCTGCCCTGTCTTCCTCGCCATGCTGGCCCTGCTGAGCCCCCACCGGCTCCTGCCTGGACTCTCGCTGATGAATGGAAGGAATTCAGGGAATGAGCAGGACCTAAAACTAACTTACGAACATCAACAGCATTAACACACGTGAACAATAAGCGGTTAGAGGATGTGGTCTTCCCTCCCCAAGTCTCCTCCAAATGGGCCAGAACGCTGCTCACAAAATAAGGGTGCCACACCAGAGGCTCGCGAGGACGCGCACGTGTATGTGAGGCGTCAAGTTCATTTTCACAGCAAGGCAGCGTGCGTTCATCTGACGCCGACAGAGCTGCGGGTCCCCCACGTGGGGGCTCTGAAGGGCTGACCCGCAGGGAGATGGTCCGGGTCGAAGTGGGGGCTCAGCGCACGTGTTGCGGAGGCACCAGCTCTGGTGCACGGCTCCTCCCCAGACCCGCAGGACGGACCATCTTTTCCCTCTCTGGCCGACACACAGCGTTCGCTGTGTCCCCGTGTGGCCGTGTCAGTCCCACCGACAGCGCTGAGTCCTACGAAGGCAGACCCGGTTAACAGTTCAGGTGTGTCCCTCGGCACCGGCTCCACACCCTTCCCACGGCTTCACGACATGCTCAGCCACCAGCAAGCAGCTTCCGAGTGACAGATGACAACACTCAGTAAGGAGACGAGGAAAAGGATGAATCCTATCTGATGCTGAAGTGACACGAGTGAATCTCAGCGCAGTATTAGGAAGTGTGCCCACAGACATCGCTGGGTCTAGGTGGCGGGCACTTACCTGTTCCTCTGGAATCCCACAGGGTAAACACTGAAGAGAACAACACAGGCCAGCACTCCTGACTCGTCACTGATAAACCACGAATCTGTGCTCTGAGTAAGACAGAGCCAGGGCACAGAGTCCTAATGCTCTAAACAGCTGAATTTTGGTTAACCCCGTGAAACGAGATGAGGGTGGCTGATAAATGAAAATCCATTTCTGGGGCAGAGAGGGAACATCTTCTCGAGATGACTTGGACACACGTCCTCCAAAACCACACCGCACAAAGCACACCATGAAATCAGAAAGTGAGTTAAAAGAGAAGGCCCCAAACTAAACCCCAGATACCAGGGAGCCTCCTAATTTCATGAATCCTTCTACAGTGGCTTTCTTGCTCCTCAGGTTCAGAAACCCCAACATACAGTGGTGAAGAGCTGCTCAGAGGCGAGGCACCCTAAAATATGAACAGGCCACACCATCTCCCAGGAGCAGTAGGCCGTCCACCCTGTGGGGCCTGCACTCACTTCATGGTCCCAGGCCGCTGGGCACCTTTTGAGGGAACATGACAAGTGCCTCCCACTGTTGCCCACGCCTCACTCCCGCTGCTCGCGCACAGCTGTTCTCAGCTTGCCCTCCTTCATGCGGCAAATGAACTGGGGTTTGCAAAGTCCCAGCTCCAGGGAAGGTCGGTCCACCTCCCCCTGAGATTAGTCCTAAAGGGGAGTATTGTTCTCCCAAATCACATGCAAGACCATGGGGTTGACATTCCTCAGAGACATCCATAAAATTAGAGATTCATAATTGCTGACCTCGGCTCCACCAAGGTCTTCTCCGGTGGGGCTGCAGAAAAAATGATTCAGCCTCACTTTCCCACCTACTGCACAAAAAGGACCATTACGGACTAGCATGAAAGGTGCTACAGATATGAATAATATGCCTCCTGGGGTTTTATGGGAACTAATTAATATTTTTAAGGGCTCTGAAATGAGAAGCACTAAATTAAATGTCACCACGCCATGCTCGGTTTGGTTTTGAAACTACAATGCCTGGATCCCGGCTCCATGGTCTGAGGGACGCAAGCGGCAGAGGAAGCTCTGAGCCCCTTGGGGGACCCGTGACCGCTTTAGTGGAATAAGCAAAGACACAGCAGTCTCTCAAACACGGCCTGTGGTGCCCGGCATTCCGGCTCCAAGGCCAAACCTCAAGATGTGCTCAGGCACGTGTGTGGAACTTGTGCAAGAGGCAGCAAGACTGCCCCTTGGCTGGATGAAGGAAAGCGCGGCCCTGAGTCTCCTGTCCTCACCATGGCCACCGGCCCCTCGATGACACCTGGCAACCTGCGGCGCCCAGAGCAGGGCGGCTGCAGTCAGCTTCTGCGTCCCCGGGGCAGCTGTACTTCTCCTCAGGCTCCTCCCCCTGCAAGGACAGATTCCGGGGGCCGGACAGCGCGGTGGCCCCTCACGGTCAGGCGAGGCCACAGAGGATGCCGCCAGTGCGCCCACAGTACGGGGAGCTGGGGGCGGTGCTCGAAGGTCTTCTCTCCGGGCAGACCCCATAGCTAGGAGGCCTCGGCAGCAGCCACGCTGCCTTCTCTCTCCCCAGGGTGTCAAGTGAAGACCACTGTCGCCTCGCCCAGTTGGGCCAATGATCTCATTTCCACCCTTCCATCCTTCCTCAGCAATGGATGACATCTCCAGCTCAGATTCGAGCAAGGAAATGCCTCAGAGATTTTCTCAGGACCATCCAGGAGGAATGAATGTAACATTAGAATTTGGGCCAGTTTTGCCCCTGATCTGGGGACTTGAAAATGTTTCACTCTCTGCCTTTCCCAAGTAGGAAGGAAGAACTTTCGGGGAAATGCTGGGCAGAGAGGAAGGTCAGGTCTGCTCAAGGGATATCTGTCCTCAATGGTAGCCCTGTAGGGAAAGCTCTAGGCCCTGACAGTTCAGGGACTTTTCGCTCCCACACCTCAAAAAGCACTTGTTGTTGCTACAGCCCTTTGCATTTCCATTAACACCACCTAGGCCAAACCAGCGCAGATACCACCACCACCACGACTACCATCACCATCCTCATCACCATCATCCTCACCATGACTACCACCATCATCCTCAACACCACAATTCTTACCCCTAATGCCATCATCATCCTCACCACCACGACCACCACCCTCACCACTACCATCATCTAATTCTTAGATTACTAAAACTTCCCAAGCAACCCACCAGTCTTATTTTGCTCTATCCAAATCCATTCCTCAACACTCAAGATGTCTCACTTGCTGAAAACCCTTTGATGGCTTCCCACTGACCCATTGCAAGCTCTTTAGAATGGCCCATGAGTCCCTACAAAACCTTGTGTCTACAGCCTCTGAGAATCTATGCTCCAACTACCTACCTTCTAGCCCTCTGTCAGGCCCTCTTCCTACTTGTCCTCTATCCCCAATTCCAAGTCTTGCCTGGAAATTTTCTCTTCCTTCTTCAAATACCAGGTTAACTTGTCCCTTCTCCAGAACTCACTCTCTGGTGGCCCCAGAAACTGAGTTAGGTACCCCCTGCCAAATTCTCCCATAGCATGTCTAGCTCCCCAACTACAGCACCGACGACCCCTGACTCCATCTGCTCATCACCCATCTGTCGGCCTTCCCTCCACCTTCCCCTGCCCTGACTAAAGTCCCATGAAGGCAGGGATCGTGATTTCCCTGGTCACTATGGCCACCTTGGGTACATGCAATGCCTGGCACATAGTTGGCACTCAATAAATATCTGTGTATGAACAAAAGATGAACCATTCAGACTTCCTACTAGAGTTTGCAAAGCCCAGTTCTTCAAAAAGAGCTGTTCTATTGGAATATTGGAGTTTCTATACTGTTTAGGATTTCAAAAACTTCAGTTCTGCCAGGATGGAGTGCAGCGGTAAAGCAAGCGCTTCTGCTACAGCAACCAGGTCCTACGGCAGACGACTTCCCGCAGCTCCAAACCAGCTCAGCGCAGACACAGCTCATGTAGTGCCCTGAGACACAGCTGACACTCTGTATAAGCAGGCTCTCCTGGGTGGACAGCTGACCCTCCCCAGGGCCGAGCTGTCTGTCTGGTGTGAAAAACCAGGCGCGCTGTCTGCGAGCAGAAGCTGAAGGAAAGATTTACTTTGTCACTGGCCAATGTATGTGTCTCTCAAGGTTTGTAACGGCATGAAAAGTAGTAAAAAGAGGTTTCCCTTCTCAGGACGGCTCCTTGGAGACGAGGGGATGGAGAAGCAGTGATGCACCTGCCAGGCACCTGGTTTTGGACTGCAAGGGGTCCTCCAATGGCAAAGACTAAGGGGAAAGGAGCAAACGAACGTCAAATACTGACCGGGCAGAAGAGTGGGGTGGGTGGCTGACTGGCCGAGTGCCCCTCCTCTCCCTTGGCTGGAGGACCAGTGTGAGGAACAGCACAGCACTCCGCACAGGCGGGCGTGTGTGCATGCTGATGGCCCTCTGCACAGATGATGTCATGAACCTCTCCTTTTCAAGCCATTCCAACATGTCACTGCTGTTCCTAGACTGTGGAGGGTCGCCAGGTCTCCATGGCCAAGTGCTCTGAGGCTCCCACCACCAGCCAGGTCTCCAGCGACCCACACAGCCCCTCGCTCTCCCAAGGGCCAATCCCCGTCCTGCCTTCACTTAGCTCTTGTCCCCTGCCTCCTCCCTCAGACTGTTCAGCCTGCTGTCTCTCACCTCTCTCCCTGGTCCAGCCTCCTCCCTCAAACTTCAGCCTCCTTTCTCTCACACTGCATGCTCGCCCTGGGCAGCACCTTCGAGCACAAC